GTCATTGACAACAAAGGCTTTTGTACAAAGTATTAGATAAATTTCAGTAAGTTCATTTCTGGACATATATGGTTTGATTTCTTTGTATGTATGGATCACTTGGGTTGTTACCAACATCTGGTGAAAATTTCATGTCATTAGCACCTCTAGTAATATATTTACTGAGAAAAATGTTGACGTGTTTAATACTTATTTTACCCGCTGTATATACACACACACACACACACTCTGTGTGTAAACTTGCTAGCACGCTGCTCTTAAGGTTGCAGGAAAAACGTGGACTGGATGTCATGTGGTGGGGGAGTACTCTACATGAACAAGTGGAACGTACCAAAGAGGATCTCTACCTTATACTAGAAATTAAAGGGAAACTGACAGATTTATGATCATATATTTTAGTTAATAATGAAATATTAAATGGTTATTTATTCTGACCACATCGTATTGAATTTTTGTAAAAAAATATTTTTACATCAAAATAATTTAGGGGGGCTTTAAAATATTTCAGGGGGGCTCCAGCCCCCTGAAATAGGCCTAGTGACGCCACTGTTTCTGTGAAAGGCGCTTTATAAATAAAACGTTACTTACTTACTTATTTAAATAAATCCTAATAAAACTGTCATTCTTTGTTCTTTAGGAGTCTTTCTCGTCTTCCTCTTCAAACGAACCCGAGTCAGAATGGAACCTCAAAAAACACAAGCACAACACTTCCTCTATGCAAGGTAGAAAATATTAAATTATAAAAACTCCTCAAAACTTTTCAGCCCCTCCAGTAAAAAGTGATGTGACCGTTCACTCCTCAAATGTTGCTCAATCTTGCAACTTCGGCTGCAACTTTTCCACAAATTGACAAAATGCCTGCTTGTTTTCACTTTGTGGGATCCAAGCCTGCAAGATGAGATCAATGTCTAACAGCAGAAGAGGTGAAAAGCTGAAAATTGTCACTCGAGCATCCTGGGAGGAAGTGTTCCCCACTAAACAGTCGAGGCGACGCCTCAAATCAGAGACCACCTGTTTATTTTCTGTGTGCAACCAGAATATAAGAAATGCCAGAAATCACCTGCTGGTTCAGAGCCTGTAATATGTCACATTCATTGGCTTGATTCTTGATTTTGTTGCTGATACATCTTGGTTTTCAGTCATATTTATTTGTTTTTACAAAGAATAGAGACTCTGATTACAACTTTCTCTCTAAAAGTGGCAGCAAAATCAGACATTTTAGACCACAAAAAAGAAGAAGAATCAACAAGATCAGGGACTTTTAAAGAAAATAAAAGGTAAAATTAGTTGATTTTGTCCCTTTTTAATCCTCCAGAAAGAAGATCCAATGAAAGGAAGAAGACTGGACCGCATTCTGCAGAGACAGGACAGCTGGTCCAGCTTTTATCCAGGTGGGCTTAAACCTTATGGAGGACCAAACCTATCATTATTGGAAATAAATGTATAAATATATAACTGGCGTATTAAAATAAATTATAGGGTCAAAAAGAAGTTTGACAAATAAATTATTGTGCCATTAAATCAATTACATCAATTATTT